CGGTTTTTCACTAATAACTCTGAAAATAAGTATTATACAGGCTGGCCCATTTTGGCTAGAATAATTTTTAGTTTTTTTTTCCGTAGTTTTCACCTGACATTGGTTTTCCTATTTTATCTTTTTTTCCTAAAGATTTCAGATGTTTTTCTTTTGTGTAATTAAATGTCATGATGTTAGCTAACACCTACACTAAAACGGTTTGGCTAAGCATTGCAGAACTTACGTACAATTTTATCTGAAGTTCAAAATTATTGTTGGAGTTCAGTATTCAATAATGTTTAGGGTTTAAAATAAGTGAGGGTTTCCAGAGGCTTCTAAGCGCTCTTAAAAACTACTAAGAACCTGTAACAACAAATAATTTTAGACACCTCAAAGACAATTTCTTTAGTAGATGTAGGTTATGCATTTCTGTGGGAGGACACCCATTTGAAAACCTTTTATAAGTGGCATTAAAATAAAACTTTTGAAAATGTGATACTGTGTTCAATAAATGTTTTTTTTAAGATTATTGATTTTATTGTGTTCCTATTATTTTTAGTTATGATTAATTAGTCGCAATACCAGTTACAGGAGAAAACCCCCTATTAAGGTCTGGTTCTGTGTGGTTTTATGAATGATATTTGTCGTCAAAGGTTCTAAGCAGTTTTTAAGAATGCTTAGAAACCTCTGGCACCCCTCACTTATTTTTATTTTAAATCAATTCAATTTTGAACTTCAGATAAAATTGTATGATAATTAATTACACAAAAAAACGTCTGGAAACGTTAGGGAAAAAACGATAAAAAAGGAAAAACAATTTCTGGTGAAAACTACAAAAAAAACACTTAAAAATTTTCTAAACTACAATAAATCGCTGAACATACATGGGGGTGATTGGGATACCCCACATAAAATAAGGTACTATCTCGGAATTTTGCGGTTTTCTACAGTAGTTTTTACTAAGCCCCCCCCCCCCCCCCCGCCTTCGCATCGGACGCGCCAATCCGGGCCGCCGCACAAAAGTAAGACAGAGAGCATTTCATTGATTGAATATGAATTGAATTGCATTTTGACGTGACAACGTCTTAAATTAGGTTGCGGCTGGGAGTCACTTATGAAAAAGTGTAACGCTCGGTAACGTTACGATGAGTTTAAGTTTACATGTACAATGTTTTAGTAAACAAAATATATTTCTATAGTTAAAATTTGTGCAATTCTTATTTTCATTCAATTCCTTGTTCCTATTGTGCAATTTAATTATATTCATATCAATAAATATTCTACCGAGAAAAAGACGTTGTCACGTAAAATCTTCGCCCGTAAAACCGACTTTACAGGCAACCATTTTTTAGTTGCAATTTGTCATCCGCATCGTGATCGCGACAGCGCTATACGAAAAAGTAAGACAGCGATAATTACATGCCTATGAATGAATTTTTACTACTACGCCGCTACCGCAAGCGATTGTGGCATTATGGGTGACAGAGCGAGTCTTTCCGCGAGTGTTCCTACAATTTATTTTGAACGCCCATGAACGGACCAAAAAAGTCACGCAGATTAAAATTGCAGCTTATATAAAAAAAAACAAACAAAACACGGGGTTTAAAATACTACTTTATTGAATACTAACGAAGTAATAGCTTAGCTTGTTAAATGTTAGGTTTTCTTCGCCTAACGCCAAAATCGAATTTGTCGGGTAGGACGCTTAATAGGTTTTTGAAGTGCATAAAAAAGCATTATTTTTGTTTAGAGAAAATTTTACTACAAAAAGAACCACGCTGACCAGGCAGCGCACGGGACGAAACGGTAGTTTTTTTTTGTTTTTGAACATTTTGGTTTCCTATTCTATTTCTGTTTAATAAAAATTGAGTAAAATATGACCGTTTCAAGTTTGCATATGTTCGCAAATAGTTAATTCTTACAGCTCCAAATTTCAAATCCTTTGGACCGCGCATAATCCTTGGAAGCTGGCTCTTGGCCAATTTTTCTGTAACTTTGGGAGATGATAGCTCATGACATGTGGAATAAAAGACCCCATGGGCCCAATGGCTTAAAGTTAAAGGAGCTACAGCCTGTCAAAGTCGAAAATGTACGGCTGTATGTGTCTGTTGAACGTGAATTTAGAAATGGTTTTGGTGATGTACACGTTTTTCGGGTCACTGAATCCGAATCCAGAGTCTATTCGATCCAGTCGGGTCAAAATCAAGGTCAGTTCAAGGCCAAATCCAAAAAAAATACTTCTAAGGTGGTGAAAATCCATACAATCAAATGTTTTCTGGATTGCTGAATCCAAATCCGATGTCTGCTCGACACGATCAGCTCGGGATGAAGGTCATTTCAAGGTCAAATCGAGAACAATACTACCTTAACGATGAAAACCCACAGATCCGTATATTTTCGGGTCACTGAATCCGAATCCAGAGTCTGTTCTATCCAATCATATCAGCATTAAGGTTAGTTCAAGTTCAAATAGAGAAAAATACTTCCAGGCGGTGGATATTCACACATCCCGATCAGATTAGGATGAAGGTCAGTCACGGTCAAATCCAGAGACATCCTTGAATGGAATAGCTACATTGAAACTAGAATGAAATAAGCTTTTCCATTTAGGTTCTGAATTCACGTTCAACAGGAACATTATACAGCCGTACATTTTCGATTTTGACACGCTGTAGCTCTTCATCTATGACCTTTTGGCCATTGGGCCCATGGGTCTTTTATTCCACGTGTCATCTATCATTTCCCAAAGTTACAGAAAAATTGGCCGAGAGCCAGCTTCCATAAGGATTCTTCGGGGTCATTACCATACATCAGCTTATAGATTTGAAAAGACCTACAAAATGGTTTTCCGTTGACTTTGCTAGTTCAAAAACTAAGGGAGTTATTGTAAAAATACCCAAATAAAATTTTTTTAGGTATCAAAAATAAGTAAGTAAAAAAACAATACTGATAAAGAAGATTCCTTGATCTTTTCACACATTATGAGACACATACACGTGTGTGAAAAGTTCTATGAGTTTTACCCGAAAAATGCATTGTTTTTTGATCTTCCACGTTGAAACTTTTAGTTTTGGAGAAGAAACAACCTTTAACAAACTATTACTCCGTTAATATTTCAAAAAGTAGTATTTTAAACTTCTTTTTTTTTCTTAGCTACAATGTAATTCTGAATGATTTTTTTCATAAAATACTTATAAATAAAATTCTTAAACAAAAGATATTTTCCTTAAGACAAATTAAATAAAAGTTTGATTCTGACGACGTAGCCTGTAAAGGCTACGAAACGTCTAAATAAAGTTTCGTGCATTAACCCGTAAAAACTAGTTATATTTAATGAGTGATGTGCGTGAAAACCTAAGAAACAAATTATTTTCAGTTGTTTATGAAAAACCATCTGAAAACGTGTTTTTTTCTTGTTGAAAAGTTGACTTTTCCTCTCTGAAATAAGTCGAAATGTTTTTTAGTTTCTGGGAAAAGATTTCAAAGAACTAAATTTGCTTATAAAATAAGTGAATCCATACATTTCCACGCTTATATTTAATAAAAAAAACATCTTCGAGAAGGGGCGGGGTCCACCCCCAGTAGATAGCAACCCTCCGCACATTACAAATTTGAATCAAAATTTTGCCAGGCAGAATTGCCATGTTCTCCCGTTTATTCCGTGCATTGACTGGACTTCTGTTCACTTCTGTTTTAATCATTACATTGAGTGTTACTTATGAAATGTATTGTGTCTTAGCAACACATTTTGTGTTCCCTTTAATAATTTTTGGTCAGCGCTGTTGCAGGGATTATGCAACTGGCCACAGTAACTGGTTTTCGGAAGAACGACTAATAAATATCCAAAACCTTTTCGGAAACCATGCCACGTTGGCGTATAAGTGATGCAGTCACTGCCACCAATCCATATAATAATACCAAATAAAAGAGTTAAAAAAAAAAAGAAAAAAAAATGGATGCGTGTAACTTATGTACGCGCGTGAGAAGTTATACGTCTTTAGCATCATTAAAAATATTTTTTAATTGCATGCAAATAATTAATAATTACAATAAAATAATAAAAGGACTGGAAAGGATAGTTAACACAGTCAATTAAGTTCAGTTTTAATTTGAAAAATTAAATAAATATTCAAAATATTCAATTAAAATCACTACTGAATTTAAGTTATTAGTCCATATGTAATTAGCACTTATAAGTAACTAAAACACGTTGTGTCTATATAGAAACTAGAAACATGTGGATAAATATTATAAAAATGAAAACAGTGATCAGAGGCGACGAGAGTGCCAACATTGTTTTTGACAACGCGATCATCTTATGGAGCTCCGTGGATCGTTCAAAGTACCTTTCGAACAGATGTCTAATAATGGTGGATTATTAACCACTAAGTGGTTAATAATCCACCATTATTAGACACTAACATTCATAACGCGCCCGCGGCCAACTTCATGCTGTTACTTTTGGGTTACAGTGATGCGCGCGCATCTAAAAATTTCACTCTCATCATTTTTTCATAACGCGCCTAAAGAAGTATTACTTCAAAAATAACGCACCGGATTCAGGTACTTAGTTTATAGCAGGTCAAAGTTCTAAACAGCCAATAAAAATATTAGCAAATAATATGAACCAAATACTAGCCGGCATGAAGATCAAAGTCCAAAATATTGTCTGGTGGTACAAGAAAGCATGACTCGCCATTTTCCTTATTACCATCGCAGTAAGAGCGCTTATCTATCAGTCAACAATTGTAAATTAATATTAACGGGTGACTGTACCTTGTGCTGTGTACCGTTCCGTACGTAAAGTGACGTAACACACTCAAGGTCGAACTCAAGCCCTGCGCGATCCGCGATATTCTAGTTCATTCAAACAGTTTACGACTTTACGTCGCGACGTTAGGCGTGGTTTGGTTACCCTTGCGGAAATACGATGATATTGTTGTGTAACAATCAACATTAAGATAAATTCAATCTACCGGCGACGTATTAATAAAAATGTTAGTTTAACTTTTACAGAATACAGTTCACAGCCGTTAAAATCTAGGTACCTAGTGATACAATACTCATAACAAACCTTTGGAACGTAAAATTATACCTTACCTCTAGAAAGAAATGCTTTTTTAAAGTCAGTGCGCCGAGTTGTTTTTTAATTTTTAAATTTAATTTTTAAATCAAGCTTTTTTATTCTATTAGCAAAATGGCAAAGCGTATGTTATTTCGGGCTATGTTGTCTGTTAAAATTAAACCTGAAAATTCTGCATTTATTAACACGCAACGAAGCTATTTACATACAAAGGAAAATGTAAGTATCACCCAATATATTATTACTTTAAGAGAATTAAAAAGTAAATATGTGTTGAAGTCTAAATATCTTTCAAAAATGCTCTTTGTATTATTATTATATTTTATTAGATTTAATTAACAATTCATTTAATATAATGCTTTCACATTTCGTACCAGTATTGGTACTGGCGAAAGACATAGTAATTATTTTATTGTTCACGGGTTCGATTCCCGCGCCGAGCCGCCAGGTTAAATGTGGTAGTTTTAAGCTCTAAGATTTGTCACGATGACTTTATAGTTTTTTACCCGATAATGAAAAGCTATAAGATAATTTTTATTGCATTAATCAATGTTTGTTTTTCCACTCTTAACTAGTTACTTGACTTGACCCATTTTGTTAACTTAGGTGCCAATTGATTCGTTATTATGGTCCAGAAGACATGAGATGAATAAAGTGCGGTCTCAAAATTGGAGAAAATTATATTATAATGCCTAGTAGAACTTCAAGTATCTACAATATAGATACCTTTATATATACCATGCGACAAGAGGTAGAAACCAATTAATTAATTGACCAGAAAAATATTTGTTGTAGTAGATCTTGTATTTGACAATTTCGTGTTCAGGTTTTAGCTGACCCTAGACGTGTTAGTGAATCTATTAGAAGCATAAAACTTGCAAGTCATTCGATTAATTTATTGATGTTAACATCAAGTATTTCATACTAGGTACGCTATTTTCGGCAAATACTTACCTAATCGATAGAAACATGGATATTCCTCTCTTTACAGAAAATAAGTATGGAATAAGGGAGCGATCTTCTTCTAATACAGGTAACTTAACTTAAAAGAAGAACCACACCATGTAAACTTTGATGTAAAAGAATAATAAAGATTTTTTTATTTTGTATGTAGTTAGTTATGTGTTGTATTCTTGCAATGTGATGTTAAAGAACACCACGGGATAGATACTTAGATGTCGCCCGACCGGTTTTAATTCGCCAGCTGATCATGAAATTCCTAATAGTAAGAGTAAAAAAGAATAGATGAAATTTTTAAAATAAGGTGTTGTTATAACGATGTTGCTATACCAGTTAAGTAATTTGTTTGACCATGGTTGTCAAACGAGTGTCGGCAGATGGGAAAATTAATATATGGTTAGTGGTCATGCTTCATGCCTAGGAGCATAAGGATATTTCATGATTTAGCGAACTATATGATCGGGCGACTTCATAAATACGGTCAAGAAAGTAAACATAATAAATACTTCGGGTATTGCAAGTTATCTACTATATGGCATGATGGTTGTACGTAGGTGCTTATTTATTTTCAACCTTTGCTGATTAAACTTATAACTATATTTTGATGCTTTATAGATACCAACCAAAGAAATTGAGATCCCCCTTCAGTTTGGCCACATAGCGGCCAAAGTATGGGGTAATGACCAGGACCGGCCAATCCTAGCGCTGCACGGATGGCAAGACAACGCCGGAACATGGGACACGCTAGCTCCACTGCTGTGCGAGAACAGATCCATCATGGCTATCGACTTCCCAGGTCATGGCCTATCTTCATGGATACCGCCAGGTAGATGACTTAATTATGTGTATTATCCACTAGCGGGTGCCCGGCGACTTAGTCTGGATTTCAATCAAACTCTTACCTCACTTCTCACCCCTTTTTGGGATAAAACCTATCTTATGTCCTTTCCCTAGACTCAAACTAAGTATATCTATACCAATTTCCATATAAATCGGTTCAACGGTTTAAGCGTGAACATGTACCAAAGACACTTTCGTATTCATAATATTAGTATGGTTATGGAAAAGTATGGTTATGAAACGTTCACAAGTGAAAAAATATTCCTGAAAAGATAGGTATAGATGTAGTTCACAAGAAAAAAAAATCTTACCAGAAAAAAGACGATACCGGAACTCGTTATCTCTCGAGTAAGTCAAGGGTTACACGATCAGTTTGGCGTCAGTTCAGTCCATCAGTTTGGTCCAGCTAAGACTGATGCCAGAATGATGGATGAAAAACACGGTTACACGCTCAGTCTAGACTGACAGCAGACTGATAAAACTTACGTAGTCATCATTTGTAAAGTGAAGAGAACAGTCAAGTGAGTCACCTCATCCTGCCAAGCCATGGATACTTTGAAGAATAAAAGAGCCTGTGCTATTATAATTATCGCTTTACTGCTAAAGAAACGCGTAAAAAGGAAGCGATAAACGTCTTGCTCCATTGCGTCGCGGACGGTGACTGACGCGGGAATGATTCGAGCGGTTACACGGTCAGTCTGGCATCAGTCTGATGTCAATCACAACAGAATGATAAAAAAATTAAAATATTTAATTTTTGTCATTCTGGACCATCAGTCAGTCAGTCAACTGGTTAGACGATAATTCTCGCGGCATTCTGAGCAAACTGATGGACTGAACTGACGCCAAACTGATCGTGTAACCCTTGAATAAGAGATAGGTACATAACTGACTTGTATGATATTCCAAATGCAATCGGAAGATGGCGGTAAAAGAAACAAGTTTATTTTGATAATAATTTGTTATCCATATTATATTAAAATATCCGCATACTCTTCGCGTCTGCCCTATATCTGCTAACTACCTACTCAAGAAAAATTTATACTTATTGTAGTAGGTACCTAACTAGATATTACAAGTTTGACAACGAAAACTAGTCTACTTCTAAGCAAAGCGAGGGGGGGTTACTAGTTAGACCATAGACTTAATTTTATTTATTAAGTTAGATAAAAACCTGGGAAGTAATTGTAGTGGTAAGTGGACGAAGGCTTTAATTAACACATTTGTGTTGTGTTCATACCACATTTGCAATCCTGAAATGTATACATGTTTGTCAGTTTAGTAGCCCCAATATATGCACTGTATGCTTTTGATATGGGATACTAGGGTAACGGATAGAATACATACACAGTACGAACATCCATGACTGGAGTACAAATGCTCGTATTCATCACAAACATCTGCCCCCACCGGTATTCGAACCAGGGACCTCTCGAGTCGGCGACACCATGAAACCCGACGTACAAACCACTCGACCACCTAAAATTTAAAGTGGTAATGAAACCTATGTTCATGCAAAAAAGTAGATTATTGCAGTTTAGTTAAATAACAGCTTTGTCCACTTTCCCTTTCAATTATGAAAAATAAATTTGTATTCCATTGTTAAGTGATACTTATACCTACAGCAAACCACAGCATTACAGTAATATTTCTATTCCAGGATTGCATTATTACGCTTGGGAGCTGCCTCGTTTGATATTGTACCTGAAGAATTACTTTAAATGGGATAAAGTCTCCCTGTTGTGTCACTCAATGGGATCCATAGCCGGACTTCGTTACGCTAGTGTCTTCCAGGACGACGTAGACTTCTACGTAGCTGTAGACAGTCTTATCTACGATGACTTCGACTTGCACCAAATCGTTGAGAAATTCCCTGTTATACTTAACAAAATAGAAGTAGCACAGACTCGGCTACACGAAGAACCACCTTCTTACACACTAGAAGAAATTGCCATGAAATGGCATTTAGGAACTGCCAAGTCTGTTTCATTAGAGAGTACCAAATATCTGATGAGAAGAGGCATAAAACCAGCAAGCCGGGACCCCAACAAATATTACTTCTGCAGAGATGCCAGGCTTAAACACTCTTTGTTTCAACCAGAGAACAAGAAGTTCGTCGAAGCCCTCGTCAAACGGCTAAAATGTCCAACGCTTTATGTAAAAGCCATCGATTCACCATTTGCGTCCGATGAATTTTCTGTGGAAATGCGAGAAGTTATAGAAAGGAATAACGAAAATTATGAAATACATTTTCTTCCTGGTACTCACCATGTACATTTGAATAACCCAGAGAGGGTAGCACCACTTATATTCAAATTTTTACAAAAGTACAATTTCAAAATTTAGTTTTTTTTGTTAGAGAATTAAGCGAAAATACATAAAATCGAATCTAGTGGCCTCTGTAAATATGTAAAACAGGTTATGATTAGGACACCAATTATCTTCCTTCCATAAACGGCTGATGATTTCGTTGATTCCAGAATTGTTTAAACTAAAGCACAAATAGAATGTTAAGAATTGCCTTAGATTAGGTATTAGGTCATCCGGGGCAATAGTAGATACTAAAAAATTATGACAATCTTATGACTGCTATTTTTACATTTTAAATACAATCTACCAAATACAATTAATTCTATATATTACACTTGTATGAATGATAATATTCAGATTGATAGACAGTAAATAAATAAATTTTAAATTGAAGATATTCCACTTAAAGCCGCCCAAAAGTTACATTTGCCCCCGATCTTGGGTTATGTAGCTAACCATCCGTATGTCTTTGCTGTTGTATCTACAATTTTCACTAATGTTACTAATTTTATACTTCAATGCTCTGTATTAGAGTTCAATTCATTTTAAATTTCCTTAAAATACCATAAGGGTAAATGTATCTTTTCAATTTACATTATTGCTGGGACATATAGTTCGATAACTTTGGATAACCATATAATACGAGTATAAACTAATATTATCAGACACTATCACAATAGAATTAAAGTCACATATAAAATGTTAAAAATTAAATAAAACCAAAGCCCAATACCAATTACCCCACTCACAATTTTCGAAGGGGCAAACAAATGTAGCTTTCTTGAATACTTGACTTTACTTAAGCGTATGATAAAACAAATTATAGAAAAATAACGAACCGTTAATTATTTCACGACACTGTAAAACACCTTCCAATATTGCGTAAAAAAAGATTTTGGAAATATTTCTGACTATGGTCTCTCACATGTGAAAAAATGGCGGAATAAAATATGACTATAAATAAAACTTAAATTATTTGAAACAGCTACATTTACCCCCTAGCCACAATAGCCCCGAGGGGCCTTACTTAACTTTAATTTCAAATTCTAATAAATGATTGTATATTTTCTAATCTCTTTAGATTAGAAATTTTATGTATTAATTAAAAAGGCTTTAATTTAATACTTTTGTATAATCATTTTTTAAACATTTTAACCACACAGAACAACAATATTTTACAGATTTTAATAATTATATTAAAGTTTTTGTTTTACAATTAAAAAGGTGCAGTATTTTCTAGTCACTTTTTATTTTGTATGATTAATCACTGTGATATGAAATGTCTATGCTTGAATCACTAACACTACTGCAGATGTGTGCTCCTTTTCTAACGGGAAGTACTTTCATGAGAGTCTCTTGCCAAGCCAGGCCTTCCGATACTCGCAGTACTATTTCAAATACTGGAAGATATAAAACCAAATGTTATTGTTTAATTAAAAAATTAAATGGAATTAATAAATTAATCATTATACATTGAATGGTCATTATGTTTGTATTATTTCATAATTTCACACATATTCAATCCCCTTCAAGAATAACAATACATCAAGCAGGTGCTAATGAAAATTACTTTCCATATTTTTCAGTGTCTATGTTGCAAATTTCAAACATACACAAGTCCTTGCAGAAGTGTTATCATTTGTTTATCATTTATTATAGATAATATTGGTTACACAGTAAAATATTTATTAAATGGAGTTGCTCACCATGATCAATTGTCAACACTTTTCTAGTTTTCATATTGACATATTTATCTAAAGGTAGCTGACCATGTCTGATACCCTGATCTTTTGCTATTGTATGACACAGGCCCTGAAAATATTTGTTATACATAATTAGATAGCTAATAATGTCAAAAGTCTCATATACTTCAATATCAGAGAATTTAAGACTGGTAAGCACTGAGACAATGATATTCTTATAATTTTCTGATTCCCATAACTCAAGTTCTCAGGTTTAATATTGTTTTGTTTATATTTATTTATTTATTTAAATATTATTATACCATTTATTCAGAACTGATAAGAATGGGTGTAAGAAACTCCTTTGCATTTAACTCTCTCTTATAGTATGATAGTAGCTAAAATGTTGTCTACTTTCATCATGAATAGCTCCAATGGGTAGAGGATTGGGTCAGAGTAGACTTTTTTTTGTATCGCAAGAGGCTATGGTGGTCACTCAACATCAGGTGGGTCATATGTGTGTTTACCACCATCTTAACATAAAAAATCATAAATAATTGTAAATTTCCTTACTTTATGTTTGTTATGATCTACCAGTCCTCCTATTACATAAAATGTATTCTCTTCAAAGTTTTCAATTATGTTTTCTGACTCACTCGTTAAGTAAACAAGTTTTTCTTTTGGAAACAAATCTAAATATGGTTCTTCATGAAATTCTACCTGAAAAAGGGTGAAAGAATAGAAATAAAATTATAATAAACCTATAGAAACCCATGAAATATTTTGCAAGGCAGTGTGAGCAGATGATTGAATGTCAGGCTATGGAATACTGCTGCTACCCCAAAGTTTAGTTTTTTTAAATGATCTTTATTTGTTTAGTGTAATTAAATGTTTACAAATATATGATATTGCACAAATTTTAGATATATTATATGGTATATAAATAATGAATTAGTTAATATTCTTATTATCATCTTATAGACACATCGAAGCATGGGGAATAGTGCATTACACAGGGGACAGATTACGACAAGTCTTTTGTGTTAAACAGTTTAATATGATCCTATGAATTTAATGTAAGTACCTAAATATTCTTAGTAAAGCATATAAAATAGAAAAAAGCCTTACATCCCAATTTTCATAACCATTATGCCTAGATATATCATTCCTAGATTTCTCTCCAAAACTTGTAATGTGAAACTGCAGGGGTGACTCAGATCTTCTGTTTACAGAGTAACATCTGAGGATTTGTTTTATGACTTTATACCTATCTTTTTCTATCATAAGATGATCAAAACTGAGGTCAATGATAACGCCTACGTTTTTCTTGTCTTTTTCCACTTTCATCTTCTTTAAAGCTTTTCTACTAGGACCTAAGTCAAGATTGGCTTCACGGGCTTCTCGCCTCCTCTCTTTAGCTCTTGCTTTTTCTTTGGCCCGTTTGTCAGCTTTATGATTTTCCCATCTAACTTTTTTTAACCATTTTCGCATTTGATTCTTTGTAAAGGGCCTAGGTAATTCATTGCCTTCTTCGTCCTTTAATCCTGGATCTATGCCTATATCAAATAGAGAATATTGGTGGTAGTTCGGTTCAACTTTTTGAATGCTATTATCACCTGGCGTATCATTATTATCGGTCATATTCGTATCACTCAAAAACATAACACATTAGCCTGCAATTGTATCACAATTTTGTTCAGATTCGTCTACCTATAGGATTCTATCTTACCGTATAAAAAGTAACTTATAATAATAATTTAATAACATATAGTTTGTCATTGAACATTTATTAAAGAAAACCAAAATAATAAAAGTTTTTAGCCAGTTTATTTTGTGAAAATAACCTCTACAGGTAAGTAGTAGGGACACGAAAAAAGTATCGATACTTTGTGGTATCGAATACTTTTCCTTTCGATACCGATACTTTTGTACTCGATACTTTGTATTCGATACTTTTACTAAATGAGTACTTTTTGGCAAGTATCGATACCTTTAAAAAATTTGGATTAGCGCCTCATACTGATGGCAACGCCATCTTGTCAAATCATAGCAAACCTTCTAAAACGTTCCATAGGGTATTTGACAAGTTTTAGGCAACGATCTCACGTTATTGTCTAATGTTTATGGAGTTCATAAAAAGTGGATATTCATCATTTTGTTGTGTATTTCAGTAAAAATAACCAAATCAAAAACTCCATTTTCAAGTTGCCGCGAAAACGTTTCTCTGGATAATATGGCGTCTTACTAGTGTGTGACGTCACACGACTGTATTAAAACGTCAAACGATACAATGTACTGTCACTTTGACCGGAAGTTTACTTGCGTGTGACGTCATTTTAGGCTCCGCCAATCCGAAGCGTTTTGGATCACGTGACAATAGATAAGAAAACTAATATCTTTTTCGTTATTTTGGCACTTTATTTTTGATACTGTCAAATGACCCATTGCGTTGTTATAAAGTCAGTAACTGACATATTCAAATTCTTTCCAATCTGTGACTGTGTTTATTTTGCGCTTTGTTTTGTTTCATAGTTACTGTTATTTATTTAGCGACCATATTGTTAGGAACTGTGATTGATTCGCCGTTTATTGTGCTTTTCGCTTGACTGTATTTGATTTATTCAAGTGTAACACTATTATTCTGTCTGTGCTGTGTATACTTATTTGAAACCACCTGAAAAAAAGAATATTAATGAATACTTTTTTAGTGTCAGAAATCACAGCTATTTTCTTTTCATTATATAATATAGCAATTTGTGAATTTACATGTCCTTTTTTTGTTTTTGATTATACGTACTATAATAAAATTCGATTGTTTTTCTTTCAATTTTAACACCGGGGGGGGGGGGGGGGGGTTGCTCATCAGGCCACAGAGGCTCCGATAAGACCCTATGAAATGTACTCGATACTTTGAAGTATCGATACTTTTGTTTCGATACTTTTACGAGTACGATACTTTTTTACCGATACTACTCATGAGTACAGTATCGATACTTTCTATTCGATATCGTGTCCCTAGTAAGTAGTCAAGTGTCACCTGTCACTCATAAAGAAGGGTTGCCGCGTGTATATCGGAACAGCTCAATGAAACAGGTCCCGAGATCACAGAATATATACACTAAGCGAAAAGAAGCGACACTTAAGCATGTGTGCTCGTAAAATCGCCCGTGGCTATGTGTGGGTGTCTGGAGGTGCGCGGGGGCGTTGCGCGGCGCGCGGGGCGTGGAGAGGGCAGTCGCCGACTGCCTCGACCGAAGGCATGGCAGTAGCGAAATAGTAAAATAATAGCGTTGCACTGTATGCACTGTACACAGACTGACTACGCTGCGCAATCTTATTATTATTTAGATAATGAAGAAGCAGAAGATATGAATTCTGTCTAAAGTTTGAGGTTGCCTGTGGAACGCATATAACGGGATTAAATCTCAATGGTTTTTTTGTAGCCCTAAGGGAAATCCTAGACAGTAGTGCTGGGCAGTCGATAGCACCAGAAGCTATTTTTAATAAAAATACTAAATCTGCAATTTGGCGGCGTTTTTGCAGTGGTAACAAGTGGTGTTTTTTACAAAAATATAAATATTGGTTTGAATCGTAGTGCTCTTTGGTGCGGAAACAGAGATATTTGATGAATTTTCTCTGGATGTTTTCAATTTGCGTTATATATGTAAGATACAGAGGGTTCCAGACCTGGGACGCATACTCCAGATGGCTTCGAACAAATGAACAATATAAAATCTTTAATGTTTTTGCATTTTTGAAGTCTCTGGAATTACGCATCACAAATCCAAGAGCCCTGGAAGCTTTATTAATGATATTATCTATATGAGCGTCAAATAAGAGCTTATTGTCATGAAGGACACCAAGGTCCTTTGCGACAGTATCACGTTGCAATGTTGAGCCTCTTAATTTATAATCAAAAAGTATCAAATTTTGTTTACGACTATAAGTGACAACAATACACTTTGACGGATTAAGATCTAAATGGTTCTCAACACAATAAATTTCAAGTCTGTTAAGGTCCTCCTGCAACGAAATAGCGTCAGCGATAGAAGATATAGGTGCAATTATCTTCATATCATCTGCAAAGCATAAGAGTTGTGATGTGTTGAAGCACATCTCAATGTCATTCACAAAAACTGCAAATAATAGAGGTCCGAGCAGAGATCCTTGAGGAACTCCGCTGAGCACAGTGAGCCAGCTGGAGATGTAGTTTTTCACTACAACAGCCTGGGATCGATTGTTAATATATGAAGTTAACCACCTGAGCAAGTCACCACTGACGCCGATCTTCTCCAGTTTATGCACCAGTAGGTCTGGCCGAATTCGATCGAACGCTTTGCTGTAGTCAGTGTATACGACATCGACATGGAAGCCATTATCCATAGACGAGGTGAGCGATTCATTAAGCAGAGTCAAGTTGGATGCTACAGAACGTCCTCTCAAAAAACCATGCTGAGTGGGGCTGAAGGAATGCTTAAGAGCTGAGTATAGCTGCACATACACAATCTTCTCAAGAACCTTTGAGACTATACAAAGTTTGGAGATTGGTCGGTAATTGGTTATGTCAATCCTGGATCCTTTCTTGTGGACAGGTGTGATAAAAGCACGTTTCCACAACCTTGGTACAATACCTTCAACCAATGATTTTTCAAAAAGGATAGCTAATGGAATTGCAATAGTTTTAGCGCAAGATATAAGGAACTGAGCTGGTAATAAATCTGGACTTGGATGGATCCAGTGTCGAAAGAAGCTTCGCCACATTTTGAACATCAATTTCAATATTTGTTATATTCGTGACGATTTATTTATTGGACCCTAACTACCATAAACTACCACCAGTTCCAAAATTGGGTGACCTTTCTCAGAAGAACTGTTGAAACCAACTCGGCGCGAGATTGGCTCTCAAAACACCAATAAGGCGACGCTTTTACTTCCCGTAAATTTTCTTTTGCGGTGGAAATCACTGGTATTTAAACTTATGAGACCCCTTTCTATATATGGCACTTTATGGTATCATAAGATATTGTAATTGTGATTGAGAATAAGATAGTTCTAATAAAATCTAGTCAAGTAAACATATTGTTTTTTAACTAGAAAAAAAATCACGCCATCCACGCAGCAGACGGGACTCGAACCTCGCATAGCGGAGGATGCCTCCGCTAGCCGGGCGGATGCACTAACCTTAGGCACTAACCAATTATGCTACTGCGACCTTAATGGCCGTGCCGAATTTCTTCTAGTATTTCTTAGGCTGCAACATCTAGCAGTTAAATGCTTAAAATAAAAATATGTTATAGTAATATTGTTTTCTTGACTAACATGCCTATTGTTTAGTTATTTTATAAGAAACTCCTGCACCAACATGAACATTCTTAACTGTATGAAAATTACGAATATTTATTCTGACCTCATTGAACTACTCCTTAGATAAGACTTGAGTTTTTATTAGATAAAAACAGTTCATAAAACAAATAATTGTATTCATCATGTGATCCGAATCACAAACATCTGCAGTTCGCGCGTGCACATCGTGTAAAATGGCTGTAAGTACTTATTTAAAATTCATCAATTAGTTAAATGTGGGTTATCGGCAGTGCCGTCTTTGACCTATTAGAGGCCCTGGGCATATTAGTATAATGGGACCCCTATGACTTCCGTTTGGTGATTAAACAGCACTACGGACTTTGTATTTGATCTGAGGGGGCCCCCTATCGATCGCGGGGCCCTGGGCACTTGCCCAAAGTGCCCACTGGGAAAGACGGGTCTGGTTATCGGTTCACCAAAAGATTTTTCTCTGACTGGTAACAAACATTTTATTTGTTAGAGTATTCATTGACCAGAGGGCCCATTCTCAAACTTGTTTGACATTTACAGTGTATAACCAAAGAGAAAATTGTCGATGCTTTTCTTTATAAGTATCTTAGTGGCATTGTAAACCAAAGGGCCTACTGTAGGCCTATTCGCTAACTGCTCTTGACATTTGGAAATTGATAACACTACTTTACAAGGTTTTTACCCATATATGAAATTAATGTGAATCAGTAGAGTAATAAACCCTATGTTAGATACTGAAGTGAGAAAAGAATAGGACGTCAAGTTTTTTAAGTACTTACTATATTTATTTTTAACACTTTTTTATGTGTGACCTACAAAAAAAACAAAAATGACACAGATAACTTTCAAATAACCAGTTTCTCTATAGACCAGCAGTAATCACCTAACATATTTCTACCTCAAAAACTTTGGTACCTCTTTCAAATCTTGATCAAAACGTTCACCATGTGAAATGTTCGTCGCTTACGCTTTCCAGGTTCTCAGGAAAAAAATCCAGGTGCGAATGTAAAAAAATAATTTTTAATGACATATTCACCCCCTTCTTATGGTAATTCTTCAACAAATTGGAAAACATTTTGCGCTGTAGCGTTGTGGAACTAATGATATTTTATTGTGGTTTTTAAATAGTTTTTATTTTAGATTTTGTTGCAATTCAAGGTTTTACGCTATAATAACTTCATCTCTGTCACTATTAATGTTTTTTTCTAAGGATTTTTTAATAGGTAACTAAGAAACTTTCTTTTACCAAAGTTGAATACTCAAAACTAACAAATCTATCATCTGTACTGTTAAAGTTTTCCTTAAAAGTTTATGAAAAGCACTATTATCATGAATATTTCCAGGTTTTTCAAGCCAATAGTTTAACTTTTAGAGGGGGGGGGGGGCCTGCTCGACCAAGAATTAGCCCTTTAAAGTTCAATATTTCGCAAACGGCTCCCTAAATCGAAAACTAGTCTTAAAAACCCCTATCTTATCCCACACGATGGGGTAGATTATTAAAACTGATGTTAAATTTAGTTTTAAGTTTAGAGAATCACGCCAGAATCGACACCACTGTTGGCTAGAAATTATTATTGATGAGGGAGAAATTATTCGTCTTAATATTCAAAATTTACTCAACAAAGACATATTTTTTTTAATTGTGCTGTGCTATTCATTAAGGACGACGTCATTTTTCACTACAGAATTCGGCGGTATGATTTGAAATTTACTTGAATTTCGTGTTCTAATTTAAAATCACGCGGATACCGAAATACAAAGTGGGTTTGTTCTTATAGAACAGCACTACCAAGCACTACTGATCTTGCATCTTGTGTTCAGGATAGATACCAGCTTTGGGGTGGATGTTTCGAAGAAGAGCCGTCAGCCGTATTGCGACGACTAAACGACTCGCTTAGCGTAGACAGCAGACTTTATCGAGAGGATGTCATAGGCAGCAAGGCATGGGCACGGGAGCTCTTTCGGAGTGGTCATTTGTCAAAAGAAGACCACGATGCCTTGCAAAGTGGTCTCGATAAGGTACCCACCTGCGGTTGTTTATATTGTATAGTTATAAAACAAATCTTAAGCTCGGCGCAAACGGGCCATCAACCACAGCCACCGCTGCACCGGTGACCAACGACAAGCAGTTCACACGCTTTTTCATACGTTTTATTGAAACTCCCCGCACATGCGTAGCCGGTGGTGGCCAAACGCTACAGTAGTATTCGCGACTCATCACATGTGGTCGCCGAGAGCCACACAAGACGCTGACACCCGCCACTGTCGCGCTACTCCACCCCCCACAGTTTAACCAATACAGCCGGCGAGGGCGTCGTTTATGGCGTCTGCATATACAATAGCGCGGGCAAACTTTCCGTGGCAGAGTCCATCGTAGGACTGTGCCACTGTGAGCGGGCAATGACGAATAATATATAGACAGGTTACACGCCAACATAATTATTGCATTTTAAAATGGCACAAGTAGTCCCCATCCCAACTTCCCTTGGTAATAGCCGCCAATAAAGCGCTCTAAAGTAGTCTCTTTCACTCTCATTCGTAAAGTAGATTACATCTCGCTATTAAACCTCCATGTGTCAACGGTGTCAGCAACTGTCAAAATAAGTAATCACTAAATATTTTTACATTAATTCTTTAAAACTGTACTTACGAATTAAATGACACGTTTTGCTTGTCTCTAATAGTTCCCGTGTATTTTGTATACTTCTATAAATATCTAAAAACACACATGCTTTTGACACTGTTGCATTAACGCGTGACAGCCACCTGTGGCTGTGGTCGGTGGCCGGGTTTGCGCCAAACCTTAGATAAATGATAGGTATAATGCGATTCAAATAAGAATAGGAAAGCCAATGACCTCCATCTGTCAAATGTCGCTTGAAAAGTACGGCTTGCAAAAAAATCTTGGAACCCTTTTTAGCACTCTGCTAATTATGGAATAAAACCAAACATTTGTAAACAAACAATAACAAATATTGTTAATTAATATTGGTTGATATTTTATTTTCATTTATTGAGCTTTGGCTATGAATGTTTGATAACCTAAATCGTCAACCAAATGTCACTTTAAGTTGCGTTCAGAAACTCGATTTAAAACTTTGGTTTACATATAGGATGCATGTTCGTATGTGACCTAGTAATAGTGCATGATTATTCATAACTACTCCGGCGGTAATGCAGAGATGTTTTTTCTCGCACAGTCTTAATAAATAAATATTATTAAAAATCGGTAATTTTCTTTTCTCAATTTTAGTAAATAAATTTTATTAAAAAATCGGATGTTTTTTCTCAGTTAATCTTAGTAAATAACTTTTATTAAATAAAAGGTAGAGTGAGCAAAACACTCTACCTTTTTCGTTTGAATTGACAGCTATGACGTCACAATATGGCGCCCCGTCGATCCTATTCTTAGTTGAATCGCATTATAGGTATGATTTTCTCATTGTTAATAGATAGCGGAAATTGAAATCTCTGATAGATAGTAACAAAAAAAGAACAATAAAATACCTACAGTCAATAACTAACACATCAAAATATTATAACGAATAGTAAGATTTTGTCAATTAATCGATCGATCGATTTATACCAACACTGAGAGCTCTTCTCGAACGAGACCCACTCTTTCCATACAAGGGATAATATAGGACTCAACATGACGGTGCCTACTAAAAAGTTTTGAATTATTCCAAAAGGGGTTACATCTTCTTGTACAATAACATGTGGACAGTCTATGATATGACCGAATATAATAGCCCATATATGTTCCAAAGACCATTTAGCTAAAAATACTTACCACCACAGGTCGTAGAAGAAGTAGGACAAGATTTATCCAATCATGGTCGTCTAAGGGATCCAGAAGAAGATATTCACTCAGTGGTAGAGAGACGTTTGCATTCGCACGCTGGTGACGCCGCCCTGCGCTTGCACACCGCGCGTAGCCGCAACGACCAATCTGCTACAGACACACGACTGTGGATGCTTGCTTCTTCATACAGACTGCGTAATGCTCTTACAGACCTCATAGCGGTAGGAACTTGCTTCAATTCAATAATTACTTACCTACTTATATACCAACTCTCGTTGTAGCCATCTTTTGATATTTGCCGATAGTTTTTAGCTGAACCATAGAACTTGAACTAAGTTTAACACAGAATCTTTCCATAAGAATTCAAACATCCATTATACAGGTGTTGGTTACGAGGGCAGAAAAGGAAATTCACATCATATTGCCAGGCTATACACACTTACAGCGGGCGCAACCAGTACGCTGGAGCCATTTTCTTTTGAGGTAAATAGATATTCCTTAACTTTTTCAACGTTAAATTGCAACGTTTATGTTAAAAATGAACATTTTCCATATTTGCCCAGCCACACATGGACTTTTAAAGATGACGTCATAAGGCTCGAGGAACAAAGAAAACGCTTATCCCGTTGTCCACTTGGAAGTGGCGCTCTTGCGGGCTGCGCTCTTGCTATCGACCGAAGTAGACTGGCTCAAGATTTGGGATTCGAAGACGTAACACCTAATTCAATGTTTTCTGTGGGCTCCAGAGATCACATTGGTAAGATAATAGAGAATAATATCAAGGAATAAAATAAACAATGGTTACTATGCTGTTAAAGATTTCATAAATGATAAGTCACCTTGGGCTTAATACAATAGACTAAGTCGTTTTACTTTGCTAATTTGGTTGAAAATTGTTTAATCACCACTTCTAAATTTAAAAATTAGTACTTAACTTTTGTTAATTAATAATTTAATGTGATGGAAGTTGACATCAACACATGTTTTCAATTTTTGATGTCATCTGTATGAAACAAAACAGGGAGAAAAAATAGCCCTTGCTGAGTTTCATGCCGGTACTCAGATCTTCTCAGTACAAGGTCTCCCGCCGCAGTTTTACGAACCGATGGGGCGTAGCGCTTGCTTGACTTTCGCAAGAGCTTGTAACAGCCTAGACTGAATAAATGAGTTTGAGTTTGAATGGCGTATATTTTCTTCTATGTAGACTTGGAGGCAAAGGAAATGATGTCGATTATGACATGATTCTCTAAACCTAAACTTTAATTTGACAAGTGTTTCCTTGTCATTCTCTATACAGAATGAAAAGGAAAGACTGATGTTAAATTTAGTTTTAAGTTTAGAGTATCACAAGGGGCTTGACAATAGACTACTTAACTGTACCTGCCCGATCATTGAGAAAACTGCACATATAAAATATCTAGGTATTTTAATGGATCAAAATCTGACATGGTATACTCATATAGAACAAGTCCTGGTAAGGGTTAGAAAGCTCATTTGGCTCTTTAAAACACTCCGATATGTTGCAGATAAAGCACTTCTAAATAAAGTATATGTTTTATTAGCCCAGTCTATACTATGTTACTGCATTCCTATTTGGGGTGGAGCAGTAAAAACAAAGTTATTAGATTTAGAAAGAGCACAACGATATCTGCTTAAAGTAATGTACTTCCTGCCATTCAGATTCCCCACTGATAAACTGTACAAATATTCCGACTTATTAACTATAAGAAAATTATATATACTCAACTTAATACTAAAAGTCCACAAATCCTTATACTATGATCCGAATATACTCAAGAAAAAAAGAAAATATGCTGTTATACCTATAAAACCGGCAAAATCTAATTTCGCTAGAAGACAATATTGTAGACAAAATGCTATTCTGTACAATATATGGTAAATAAAGAACTTAATATTTATCCAATGACTCGTTATGACTGCAAGAAGATACTAATTGAATGGCTCAAAACTCTAAATTATACGAAAATAGAGGGTCCACTCCAAACTATAAAATAGTCAATGAAAAATAAAAATATTATTATTGGTTTGTTCATACACTAAATTTCTACTACATACAGAACCACTCTCTACGGCATGGAAACATTTACATTTACACAATAACATACTTATACTCCTCATTCATATACACGCACACACACACACACACACACGCGCGCGCGCTCATACACACACCACATGCACACCCACATACACAAACTCCCCTACAACTATAGTTTTAGTTTGATGTAAATTCATCTCTTAGCTTTAATCTTGTAACGTTGATGGAAGAGCGGTGCCTCCTGCTACAGATATCGCTATACTTAATAGGAGTGCACCAACAATGTAATTAGATAAATAGGTTAAGTTAAAGAGATTAAACATATTTTATTTTTTATGTTATTATTTTTAATAGAGACTTATTAAATTAAGTAGGTAAACAGCATTATGTTTTTAACGCGCGAAACTGATGTGGGAAAATATTGTCTTTACAGTGGAATTCCTGAACTGGTCATCACTGTGCAGTTTACATCTAAGTAAATTGGCCGAAGATTTGATCATATACAGTTCTCAAGAATTCGGTTTCGTCCGTTTCTCCGATCAGTTTTCTACTGGTTCTAGCCTGATGCCGCAGAAACGGAATCCTGATGGCCTAGAGTTAGTGCGTGGAGCAGCGGGACTTATGTTGGGCAATTCTGTCGCTTTTAGTTGCATCCTGAAAGGATTACCAAGCACGTACAATAAAGATTTACAATCAGATAAAGAACTGATATTTACGTCGTATGATAAACTCTTGGACTGTCTTAAAGTCGCCACCGGGTCAGTGAAAACTATGGAAGTGAGTACCTATTCCAAGCTTAACGACATAAAATTTCGCATAAGTTGTATGTATGATATGTTTTTACTAGACTTGCAACGAATAGTATATTCGGCAGTATACCGAATAGCCGAATATTAGGCAAAAGTATTCGGCTGGATTTTAGTGCCAAAAACTTGTACAGACGTGATTGTTTCGCGCTCCTTTGTTTTGTTCTAATCTGCCGTCCTCAAACTAAAATGCGGCTAAACAAAACCAACTTTTGAGATATGGTCTAAAACGGCGCGTAAACTTTAAATTATTGCTAATGCGGCGCGTAAACTTAAATATTCGGTATTCGGCCGAATATAATAAAAGCAGCCGAATAGGCCGAATACCGAATAGTAACCGAATATTCGTTGCAAGTCTAGTTTTTATTATGGCAAATAGAAGTTAAGTCAAGGTACATTACATTTAAATAATTATGCCTATTAGTAAATATTATTATAAGAGTTCCTATGGTGCCGTTGTATTTCTGTCAGCGGTTACTGGGCTCCACGGGTTAAGAGCAGGGTAGGCAACGCAATAGCGACATTTTTGGAATCGAATGCGTCAAGTAGGAAGTAGACAATGATGGCCGCTTACCTTTTAACATAAAAAAAGACTTGGTGACCGATAATGTTTATAATTTAATAGGTAAACGGTGAGAAAGCCCGGACTGCGTTAGAGCCGGGCATGTTGGCGACTGACCTCGCGCACGCGCTGGTCCAGCGCGGAGTGCCGTTCCGGCGCGCGCACCACCTCGTCGGCTCAGCGCTGCGAACCGCCACTGCCCTCGGTGTTGACTTGCAGCAAATGCCGCACAAAGAATACTTGGCGATCTGGTCAGATTCATTTTCTACTTCCTTAGTCCCGATTCGTATATGATTCCCAATGAAACTTAAAATTGAGTTTAACAACTATTGATCCTTGTCATGCTCAGAATGAAAATTAGGGGCTATTGCCAAATTCGTTTTAAGTTTAGAGAATTATGCCACAAGCCCCATTGCCGTTATTACCGGCCGCCCTCTGGTGTCGACCTGCAGTGGTGGCAGCATAACTAATACACTGGCAATATAGTGAGAATCTTTTCTACATCATGAGACTATTACCGCTATCGTATCAAACTCGGAGCGAGTGCCGCATAATTGGCGATTTTAAGAGAGATTAGGTATAGCGGATTTTCCTTTCGAATCATTACGCTGCGCCCATCTAGGGGAGTAGATCTTTATCTAACAATAGATCAAAGTGAAACAACACTGCCTTGTGGTGGTGTTTCACAGGGTACAGAAGAGCACCAAATAATACATTTTTGGTTACATTGCCTGACCAACTAATGACCGGCCATTGTAATTTTAAATGTTGCATAACTGCCACCTTCCACAATGAAGCTGCGTCTAAGTGTAGGTACGTAACTACCTTTATTATACTTAACCAAATGAAGTCCGTATCAAGTTAACAATTGATGGATAGAGAGCAAATCATATCCGATATTACATAAGAGTGGAGCTGGAAGCCAGAGTGATGCGGCAAAATAACAACTTGTCATTTTTTTTTAGTTATATTTTCTTTAGATTTAAATATCAAGCAGTTACATGCTTAATAAATAAAAATTATAACTCGTCATTTGCTTTACTGCCGTCCGGTCTGTACCGAAATGGTCCTATCAGTGAAGCCTTCACCGCAGGAAAATATGAAACACTAATGCAGGGCCAGATTTAGAGGTGTATTAAATAATTTTATGTAAAGGTAATTTTATATTTCAGCCCTGAATTTGGCAGCGAAGAGGAGTTGCGCGCCATTTTCTCGTGGGATGCGAGTGTAGAGAAATACTCAAGTGCAGGCGGAACTTCTATGTCTTCTGTTCAACAGCAGATTAAGGACCTTAACGCTTGGATTAACGAAACTCGTCCATAATTATTTAAGAAAAGAAATATAGTTATTAACATTATTTTGACTACTCTTAGGAAAAATAGGTAATATAATTTATCCACTTATAATTTATCTTTTTCTTTGTATTAATCCGGTTCCCCATATCACGTAACTAAAGAGGTTTGAGCTTTTTAGGTAAGTAAGCCTATATGTTTTATGGTGTAGATAGGGCCCGATCCAAGGAGGGGCGAGCCGGGCATTTGCCCAGAGAGGCAAAATTGACTTAACGTTAGCCGTAAAGTACGTCATTAAAAGGCGGCAAAAATTTTTGCCCGGGGCGCCAAAATTTCTAGATCGACCCTGGGTGTTGAACCTATATGCTGCCTGGTCCGTGTGGTTTTTTTTCTAGTTATATTTTCTTTAGATTTGAACATCAAGCAGTAACATGCTTAAAAATTATAAGAATAATACTTGTTTTGAATAAAATTAACTTAAAAGCACACCTATGCCGGAAGGTGTCGGGTTCGATACCCACGGGCAGCCCTCCATGGCCGTTAAAGTTATTCAATGTAAACATCCTACTTCTATATTATGTTTCATTCTGATAATAATCTCATCATCTTATCATAAAATTATATTATTGGGGCGGATCGACCACCTATATTTTTACACGGTGCTAATGCTAACTAAGCTAAGCCAAAGCCTTTATTTATGGAGATAAGCCTCTACATTCATCTTAGCCTTGTTTATGTAGATTTGTAGATATCTTTATCATCATGAATAGTAACTCTGCCGATATGTTATGTGAACTTCTGTGTATGTATTTATGTTTCCCTAGACATTTACATAATACCTAATAAAAGGTCATTTAACTACATTTTATCGTAAGGTTCACCAGTTGTCAAGTCCTTGCCCGTGATGAGGCGACGGCAGGCAGGGCCGCAGGGCTGCGAGCCACCCTTGACACCTGTCCCGCGCACGTCTCCGTGGGCCGCCACCGCCACCGCATTCCGCTCGAAATCACGTCAGGCGGAAAAACGGTACGCCCGTGTTAGTTAGGGACGCCAAAACTGAATAATCGTTGAATGACATTAGATACATTTTATATTCGAAGTTCTTCGAGAAGCTCAATGGCGCAGTTATTGACGTATTGGTCTGCGATAGTTTTGCTACAAGCTTCCATCGGGTACCTGATCCATTCAGTATCTCCAACTCCAAATACTAAGTGCTACGGAAGCTAAGTTAAGCTGTTGGTCCCGGCTGAATCTACAGTATTTATACATATAAGTATACCTGTTCACGTTAATAAGTTAACGTAATAAAAGAGCAGTTGTGTAGTGTAATTACCTTCGGCCAAATATACTCCCTTGTACTTTTATAGGCGTAGAAGAAAATACTAAAACTTTTATCAGACAAGCGTGATAGGGCTACAAAAATGCATTCTTGGACGACTATGATTGTTGGGGAGTTACCTAACACCCAAACCGCAATATGCTACCTAACTGTTCTCCTTTTAACATAGGTTTTAGGCATAGGATTCCTGAAGTATTTATGTATATGTGTGCCCAACATAACTATGATCTCAGTATTATACATCTAGCTATAAGATGATGATAAGTAGGTACCCACTTTTTTTTATTTTAAGCAGGGCTAGGTTTTGTTAATCGATAGATTTTGACAAGTTTTTTTTTATTTGGCGCGGTTAGCACAGCCCTGTCGAAAGCAAGATAGACGTTTTAAACCCTTTACAGGATTCCGTAAACAAATAAAATGAATATGCGAACCCTAGAACTGAGCTACAGGGACTGAATTGTACAAGACTACTCTAAAAAAGTTATAGAACTTTAATTCCTAGAACTTAACTCCGTATCATACATAGGGGATAGTGATGGCGCTGTCGGGCACCGTGCTGGCCGTGGTGTTCGTGTTGAGCTAGATGCGAATTTAAGTCAACACAATCGGAATGAAAGAAACTTTGATTTATAATACTTTTGATGCCAATCTTCGTCTTATTCATTATCATTATATCCACTATAGAGACAGCAGCAGCAATAGGGAGATCGCGCAATAATGATTTAGTCTAGTGTTGACGAGCATCTACAAGACAAGCTGCCAGCAGTTGCAATTGGAAAAATCATTTTTGGTCATATGGATCTGTTATGTGATTTCGTCGACATGTCTGAAGGTTCATGACAATGTTGTTTAACTTTACCGAACTTAACACTACAAATATTGTTCTGAAAAATTTTTAACGCTACTTATTTTGCTATCCAAATTTTTTTGGTATTATTTGCTTTGGGATAAGTAAGGAACGCAAATAGATTTAATTAAGAAAATATAATATTTATTTATTTATTTAATCTTTATTGCCTTTACACTGCAAATGGCGGACTTAATGCCAATATGGCATTCTCTACCAGTCAACCGGAAAGAACATACAGAGCTATAAAAAACGGCAGAATCAAAGAAGAGACATTAAAATCAAACAATGAGCAAATATACTGACACTTAACTATACATACAATATAAATATACACACAGACACTATAAACAAATATATATATATATATATATATACATACACATACACACACATACCTATAACACATATACTTTGTCGGATTACAGTATTCTGATTGTGGTTAAGCATTATGCAATTGCTTAAGGTAGTGTTCCCGCGCTACCTTAAGCATTATTAATAAAATAATGTAATAGAATACGAGTTGCGAATACCTAGTCAGGTCATAAATTCTGTCACATGTTTATTAAAAAATATTTGTAACAAGTTTATTCATTATGTAACCATTTATATACCAAAATGAATTTAACAAAACATACATTCTTATGACAATAAAGTTTATTCAAAATGACCTCCGTGATTTTGAATACAGGCCTTCAATCTGCGCGGCCAGTCGTCTATCGCAGCACGAACGAGGTCCATGTCAATATCGGCGGCTGCCTTAATCAAGGATGTCTTGAGCGACTCCAAATTGGGATGAGGCTTTGAGCACGCCTTTTCCTCCAAGTGTTGCCATATCTTGTAATCTAACGGACTCAAATCTGGACTGGAGGAGGGCCAGTCTTTGTGCCGGATGAAGTCGATTTCACGCGCCGCCAGCCAGTCTTGTGTGCTCTTCGCTCTATGAGCTGGCGCCAAATCTTGTTGTAATACCCAGTGCCTGTTATTGAACATGGTATGAGAAACAGGTTCCACAAGGTTCGTCAGGACTGTATTTTGATACACAACTGCATTCGTTTTTATACCTTTCTCACAAAAATGTACCTCTGTTAAGCCCCAATAAGAAACTCCCAATCATACCATGAGCGAGGATGGAAAATGACCTCGTTGGACACGTGGAATACGGTTGCTCGCTTCTTCACTACTGTGTGCGTACACCTTATCATTTTGTTTCGCTTTTGCTCTCTTCTATGGTAAAAATGTTTTCTTCCAAAAAAGAATTTCCCGATATTTTTTTTCCCGCGTACCGCTTTAACAAAGCGCGGCATCTCTTCAGTCTCAGGTCCATTAGACGAGCATTCAAACGATGTCCTGTTTTTCTTCGACATGCCCGAAGTCCTAAGTCTTCATTTAACACCCTTTTCACCGTGGTTCTGCTTAACCCCATCTGAAGGGTCGACAGTTTCTGCTTACGTTTAGGATTTCTTTGAATTCGCGCCTCACAGCTTTTATCACTGCTGGAGTCCTAACAGACCGAGGGCGACCACTTCTTAACCTGTCATCTACACTAGAGTCTTCATTGTAACGTTTGATGGTACGATAAACGAATCTTTTGGTTATATTCAAAATTTTCAGTATGTCAAAAATGAGTAAAATTCTAAAAAGTATACATTTTTATTTTCATGAACAATTCGAAATTCGAATTCTATAAACTTTTTTGTGGCCAGCATTCTAAAAGAAAAGTTTTTACTGCGTGACAATACTTATGACCTGACTGTGTATATTTATATAGTTTGGTATGAGTAGGTATAGATAATACGGAACAACGCAAATTATTGGGCCATGGTAAAATGAAGAAAATATTTTTTTATACGGAACCCAGTCTTTGTGAAAATCAAACACGCACGAGATTTTTCCAATAATAGTATACAAACAATAATATTTATCGAAGCCTTCAGCAGACGCAATCTGCCACGGGTCTGCCTGCTCGTCCTATCTCACAATATTCGGTATTGCTTTTAGTGAGCAACGTTTTTACTTTGCATGTTACAAGGTGAGTCCATTTTTTCATTTGCTATGAAATAGGTACCTGAACCTCTTGACTTTTTTTTCTTTATTATTAAAGTGAAACTTAATCCTTAATAAAGAAACTTTTCTTACATCGCCACATTTTTTTCGTTCATCTTAAGCATGTCGCATTACATTTTTAATTAAATTCAAACTCCATCTACAAACATCGGTGGTTTAGTGGTAGAAAGCTTGCCTGCCCCAACTTATACTTAACTTATATAAATATCCTATTTTCCCTTTGTATTTCTTAAAATTTGAGATGATGATGTAAACACTTTAAGTTTCTCTTGCATTGATCGTGTGAAATCGGTAAAGTCGTTACCTGCCAATTATGATGTCACCAAGGGAAACAGGGATTACTTTTTTATACTGACCGTAATGTTATTACCTAAATAATTATATTATTCATACTGTCGACACTGTAAATATAATGAAACAGGGAGGAAATAGCAGCACTCATTTAAGATCTCCTGCCGTAGATTTACGAATCGATGCGGTAGCTTTTAAGACATTGTGCCCTTAACTTGTATTTTTTTCATTCAGAATAATGGTCTCCGCGTTATTTTTCACTACGTTGCTCATCTTATTGACGGTACTGCCCAAAGTCTGGCTTGATCCTCGAGATCATGATGATTACGATTACGAATATTTAGCCAACGGAGCACCAGAGGAGCTACCTTACGGAACCGACAATGAGGTTAGTGTTTATGAAGTTCTTGCTAATCAACTGACCCTACTCGCTCTACTGATATGGTAATGGTAATTGTACTTAAAGTCAGTGAAATAAACTTAATGGCCTGCGCAGACGAGGGACTTTCAGCCCGTGAAGGACAAAAATCCTTGAATCGAGAAAAAAATGTCCACTGAGGAATCTTTGTGCATTAGTTGCCCGGTGATTTTGAGAAACGCATGCTATGGAAGAACTTAATGCAATAATTTATAAAAAGTTAATTCCGTACAAATCTGAAAGTTCATATTGATAAAAAAGTAATAAAAATATTAAATAAACATAATTTACATATATATCGCTTACGGAGCGACATTCTGTTACGACATTTAGCATTGGTAGGCATATATCTACACCTGCCTTACTGTGTACTGTTTGCTAACTAGTCGTGGGTCATAACGTATTTTATTCGGATGTACTTGGCTTGAAATCTTGTGAGGTGTTCGTTTGCGCTCGCTCACACATAGTTCGATTAGTATTGTTCTTTCTATAGTTGTGAGAGACGGACGCTCCGGTCGAACGTTTCGGAGTCGATGCGGAGATTCAAAGCAGCTGTTGTTTACGTGTTGCGAGCACTCCGATCATGTCAGTCCAGACCTCGAGGAGAATGAAAACATTAGTGATAGTAAAAAAAAGAAAAAATATGTTAATACCGTACAGCAGGGGTGCTCAAACTTAAACTGCTGGTGATCTACCTCAAAATTTTTAGACTACTTACGATCGACTCTGAGAGGCTGCAAGTATGTGTGAAGCAGGGTTGTCGTAAATACACGATACACCCCACCTACCTACCTACCTAGGTAGGGTGTACCGTAGCATATATAGATATTCGTAGGTCCATCGCGATCGATTATTTACAATATCACGTTAAAAAAAAGTTGCCGTACGGAGTCAAATGATTTTAAAGCTATATAAATCAAGTATACCTACCATGAAATTAAGATAATTAATATACATTCAAATGAACAATAATTTTTTGACGGCATTATTTTTAATAGTAGGTACTTTTGAGTGCTAGATAATGTTTTGGAACCTAAGCCGTACTTTTCCAAATCACCCCCCGGACCACGGAAAGAGAGGGGGTTGCAACCCTCGATTTTTTCCCCTTGTCGCATGATTTTTGTACGGCGTTGCGGAATAATGGATTAGAAGCTGTATTTTAACAGTTTCAAACTGATGCCGTACAGAATGAAATGACCAAATTTAGCCTGGATATTGTCAGAAAATCAAAAAAAATACCGACTTTGTGGCACACCATTTTTTTAAGGCACTGCGTGCTTTCTTATTATTTTTCATGGATCTATCGATGGGAAAAATGCCGTACAAAAATATATGACCAAAATGTACTTACTCTAACTGCAGTTTTGAATTCTCACAAACACTCAGTTGGACAGCTTACAAGTGACGGCATAGTGCTGAATCTTATTATTTTATTCTCTTATATCGTCCTATATACGTCACCTGGTGGTTCATATGACCCATCCATTTTTTGGACATGGGCCTGTAGTCTATTAGTACGAGTGCGAGCTCAAGAAAGCTATCATAGTTTTCGTAATTGTAAAACTCATACTAAGGGAACAGTTCGCTGTGTGCCTTGCTGCGTCTATAGTCGCACGAGTTCTATTTTTTAGTCTGAGTTGCGCACTCGATCCGGGTATAAAGGTGGAATACCCAGTATTCTCACTTAAGTTTTCTTTTTTTTTCGTAAACTGCATGTTGATTACAACATATTGTAATCTCCGAATATTTGCTTCCATAGCGTGCGTTTCACCTCAGGGAAGTTAGCCCCCCATTCTTTGAAATTTATTATCGTGGTTGTTGTGGATTGTTCCATGTTTGCTCCACATTGTTTCAGTTTTATTTGAAAAACAAAAATTTTAACCCACTAGGCAAAAAAAACTTTTTGGTAGCCCTACATTTTTGAAAATTCAATGTTTTGTTTGTTGTTCCAAGTTATTCTAGTTGTTTCTAACATTGTTCCAAAGTTTTATTAGACAAAACTAAAATTTGAAGCTGTCAGGCAATAAAACCTTTTTTATAAAAAATATCGCACTAGAATTAATAAATATATTAACAATGATTTAGAACAATGGTGATTTTATCAGAATTACCGTGGGCTATATCATTCCAATTTCATTTAATTATTCTGAATAAAATTAAAAGTTATCTATCAAACAAGAAAACATTTACAATATAGGGTAAACTACCCAATTGTTGGCACTTTAAGAGTAGGTTCCATGTCAGCCAGACATTAAATAATATACCATAAAATCACATCTAAAAGAACTAGCTAGATTCCTTTCCCTTGTTTTCAACTAATGCCGATATTAGACGAATGGATGCCAATACTGAGAATTTTTGTGTCGATATAGCATTTTCTGTAGTCTTAGTTTAAAGTATAAAATGTCTCTTTACTTTCAATCCAATACAAATAGATATGAAAACAAAGATTAAACTACTTTCTTTGATACTGTTACATGTGATTTTATGTAATTTTAAAACCGTATATTAACCGGTTTATAACCTTAGATCAAAACATCCTTTCATCCAGATTCTGACGTGAGCTATTCCTCTCCCACCAGCTTTCCCTCGCAGACTGAGCCTGAGACGTTGGGTGATAAACTGGGGTAAATATTTGATAGCGCTCCTCAAAGTTTCAACGCATGCCATATAAATGCTCAGAGTATACCCTCTCACTACACAGATTTTATAGATACTTTCTCTTCTTTAGCTATTCACGCGATTTTAGTTTCAGAAAGCTGGCTTAAACCAAATCTTTCCTCTTCTTCTGTTTTACTCTCTGGGTATACTTTGATCCGCAATGACCGTACTGGTAAACGTGGTGGGGGTGTCGCTGTCTATCTGCGCAATGATATTTCTCACAAAATTTTGGCATCTTCACCGTCTGTTTATTCTGGTTCTGCTGAGTATATTTTCTTGGAGATCTCTGTAGGGGGAGCTAGGGCCGTTCTTGCAGTTGTGTACTGTCCACCTACTGTAGACTATTTTACTCATATTGAGTCTATCCTCGAACCTCTTTGTACAGATTACAGGCATCTCATAATCATGGGCGATTTTAATACCGATCTCATGCGTAATACGCCACAATCTCTTAAACTGTCTAATATTGTCAAGTCCATCAATCTCTCTATTCTGCCTTCTGAGCCTACGCATCACAACCCCTCTTCTTATGATACATGGCTTGATTTAATAATAACCTCTCCTGATGATGTGATCAGTCATGGTCAACTACCTGCCCCTGGGTTTTCTAAACATGACCTAATCTTCCTGAAATATAAATTGAAACCCCCTAAGCAGAAACCCACTATACTCTGGATGCGTAATTTCTCTAGACTTGATATTGACAGGTTGAGGCAGGATGCTGCTCGGCTCGACTTTTCCTGTGTTATGGAGTCGTCGTCAGTTGATGAGAAAGTCTCTCACTTTAATAATCGTTTACTCCAACTGTACGACACTCATGCCCCAATAAAGGCGGTAAGAGTCAAGTGACCACCTGCTCCATGGATCAATAGAGGTGTCCGTATGGCCATGACTCGGAGGGACCGCGCTTTCCGAACCTTTAAGCGCAGCAGGTCGGAGGAGAACTGGCGTCTCTATAAATCTGCACGCAATAGATGCAATGGAATCGTAAGGGCAGCTAAGCGTCAATATTTTCATAATAATATTTCTAATTGTTCTTCAGCCAATATTTGGAAGTTTTTACGTTCACTTGGGTTAGGTAAAAGCTCTTCTCCATCTCAGTCTCTTCCCTTCTCTCTTGATGAGTTCAATAAATATTTCTCTGTTATTTCTTCCTTGGAACCCTCTATCAAATCTAAAACTATCGATCTAATAACTTCCAAGGCTCAATCTCACTCTGTATCATTTTCCTTTTCTCCAATGTCAAATGATGAAATTAAGAAAATTATTCTATCCATAAAATCGAAAGCCGTAGGATACGATGAAGTGAGCAGGGATATGGTTATAAATATTATAGATATTATCCTTCCAATTATTGGCCATATCGTCAATTATTCCTTCCTGTCTGGTTCCTTTCCACTTCCTTGGCGTAAAGCCTACGTTATTCCCCTTCCTAAAACTTCCACTCCCACACAACTGAACAACTTTAGGCCAATTTCCATCCTCCCATTCCTCTCCAAAATTCTTGAAGCTGCTGCTCACCAACAAATATCACCTTTTATACACTCGAGGCAGGTACTTACTCCTTTTCAATCCGGCTTTCGACCTGGGCACAGTACATCGACTGCTCTACTTAAGGTAACCGAGGACATCCGACTTGGCATTGAGAACCAGTTGGTCACCATTATTGTCCTTATTGACTTCTCCAATGCTTTCAATATGGTGGACCACGATGTTCTACTTGCGATTCTGAAAACTCTTAATTTTTCGTCTTTGACATTGGACTGGTTTTCATCTTACCTCACTGGTCGCCAGCAGGCAGTGCGCAAGGACCGTGAATTGTCAAGTTGGAACGACTTGATTGCTGGCGTTCCACAAGGGGGCATTCTTTCCCCTCTTCTTTTCTCTTTGTTCATTAACTTTCTTTCCTTCTCGCTTGGCTGCTTTTATCATTTCTATGCTGATGATTTGCAGATTTATGTGCAGACGACTGCTGAGGAAATTTCTGCTGGAATAACTCAGCTCAATAGGGAACTTTGCACTGTAAGTTCTTGGTCTGCTGACTTTGGAATTGCCGTTAACCCCACCAAATGTCAAGCTATTGTAGTGGGTGGCTCCAAGCAGATCTTCAAGATCGATGTTGGTCTGCTCCCACCTGTTGTGTTTGAAGGTTCTATAATTCCATATAGCCTTAGCGTTAAGAATCTCGGCCTTCATATTGATACAACGCTAAGTTGGACGACGCAGATTGCCGAAGTCAGCCGTATCGTTTCTTATTCGTTGCGTACCCTTAATCGCTTCAGAAATTTTCTCCCTATAAAAACTAAGATCACTCTCGTTACGTCCCTTGTTCTTCCTCTCATTGATTATGCCGATGTCTGTTATCCTGATTTAAACGCAGATCTTCTCAATAAATTGGACCGCCTGATGAACAATGCTATACGTTTCATCTTTTGCCTCCGCAAATTTGACCATGTTTCATCATATCAATCCCAACTTAAATGGCTTCCTGTTCGCCAGCGCAGGCAGTTAAGATTACTCTGCACTCTTTTTACCATTATTTCCAACCCTCATTCTCCAGAGTACTTGAAATGCAAGTTTCAGTATCTCTGTGATAGTCACGACCGTCCTCTCCGCTCTGCTGATTCATTAGCTCTCTATATTCCTCTTTCTCATTCAGGCTATATGTCCAACTCCTTTACTCTTCAAGCCATACGACTGTGGAATGACCTTCCCGACTCCATCAGAAGATCTCCTAGTAAACTTGTATTTAAAAGGAATGTTCACGCTCATCTGTTGCAACATTTAAGATGAAGTGTCACTTTTTAATCATCATCATGTATATATTATATGTATATATATATATATTTAAATATTATTGTGTTATGTTTGTATCTATTACATTATTTTTATGGTATGTATTTATTTATGTATCTATGTTTTTTGTACATTTATTCGTATTTAGCTTTATACCGCTGTTCGTGTTTCTCATTTTTCCCAAAGGTTGACTGGGAGAGAATGCTTTTAGCATTAAGTCCGCCTTTTGTACCATTGTTTATATTTTGGTCAATAAAGTTTAAATAAATAAAATAAATAAAACAAAAAGGGTAGATACGGTACGCTCATACTAGCATCAAATAAAATATGATCCGACTCAACTACATAAGCAACTCTCGCAAACGCACACGTCTGTATATAAACATCAATCGAGCGAGCGAGATAGAACTATACGCCTCAACGCAGCGTATTGTTGTCCTTTTCTTGCTTACAAAATGGCGATTACGTAAATAATATTCACGACAAACCGTGATTTTTGAGAAAAAAATGTTTTCACAGTTTTACGAATGAAAAGCGTTGCCGGGGCATTTGATTTTTAACTAAGTATTTTTGTTGTTTATAAAAGCATTGAAGGCATTGTTTTATCTTCATAACACAGAATATACGCAACATTGTTATATTGAGTATACATGCAACGTGTTTGAATGTCAAATTGTGACTAAAGCGAATTATGGTCGTGGACCACAATTTAAGCGGATCACTTTTGAGCCGCAAATGCCGTATCTTCCCTTTTTGTTTTAATCTAAGTTTATAACCATACCGTGCCTAAACCCGGAAGAAAACAACCTCGTTAACAAGCGCCCTAATAAATACAAATTGTTATATTTTTCAGTATACTCGACGAATCCACGCAATGATCGATGCATACAGAGGTGGTGCAACTGGACGGATGGTGATCGAAACAAACGCTCTTGTGAACACAAAATACCGAACATGGAAGCGCAATGCTGATTTAATCAACTCACTATTGGCTTTACCAAAAGGCATGAATGATGCGGGACGACGTTAAAATAGTGTAGTCTGGTTATGTATACTAAAAAGTATGAGAGTACAAAGATTAAAAAAAAAATGGAAATCTGTTTGTCAAAACAATATTTTATTGTTATTATTTCTAATATAATCCTAGTACAGATTAATTAACCTAAATTATATCTAAATTACACCTGCTATGTGGTTGACCGCTTGGTTTACAAAAACACTATTTACAGTTTGATTATTGTAACATGATCTGATCAATGTTATTTATGTGCATCAAATCGTTTAAAAATTGTTTTATTGTTAAATTATTCTGTCCAAATACATGTTTCAATTATGTTTTTAAAAGTTTTATAGATAACAATATAGATACATATTCAAAATATTCAGTTCAAACTTATTTGAGTTTTCACTTGTATTATCCTCATTTCTATTATAAAAATATATCATCATCAATTATATGAATACATTTAAAGTACAAAGGTTATCTGAAAGTTCTCATGCTGACGTTTAAGCATATAACGAATATCACTTTTAGTACGTAAATATGGCTATAACTTGATTTAATTTTATTCAATAATAATATACATTCAACGAGGTAATCGTGTAATTACATTCATTTAGTAGACCGCAACAGTCGCTACGACTCAGTCTAGAAAGAGGAAACAAAAGTGTTCTAAAATTCGCACCTCGTGCTTAAAAAATATAAAGAAATCAGTGAACTACAATGAGGTCTATACAAAAACAAACGTGGCTACCCCTATTCTTTGACAACACCTCACACCAACTCACGCTCACAAAACTATGTAAAATCAACGAATTAGAAATAATATGGAATACGAAATATGCTAAAAAGTGGTTCCACGCAAACTGCGCTTAAGTGGGCGGGGCGAAAAAAATGCTATCAATACGCCCATCATGGGATTGGTTGGGATTTCTGATTAACATTATCTTATAATCTTACCCAATGAATGGATTTTAGAATAGGGAATATGCAATATTTTTGTTTTTGTTTTCATTTTAAAGAATTCCATGTAGAATAAACCACAGATATATTAAAAAATTAAAACATTGCAATTTATCGGAAAAAATGCGGTATTAAATTGACAGTTTAAATTTTCGCGCGAAAACGGACCTATGGTTCCGATGACGTCACTCCTGTCTGTCACTGGTCGTACTTGTTCGTCGCTGGCAAAGTTTTTTCAAAGAAAGTTACATGCATGTCAACACTAACTCTTGGTAAATTCCTGGAGTCTGCTTTGATAAACCCAACTTCCATTTTTATTAAAAAACGCAATTAGTATTCCCATAAAATAATATTCACTTTTACAACCATAACCTCAAATAAGTTGTCATAACAGGAGTGCCGTCACTAAACGCTGATTGGTGTTTTAAAATACGTTTTTTTTTTCAATTCATTTTTAATTCGTAATTTTTGTTAAAAAACAACATTATTTAAAATAAAAACGTTGCAGTGGCCTTTCTTTTATATTTTTTGAACATTTTAATCATAAAATTTTCCCTATTCATTGGCAGATATTTGATTTGACAAAATATTTTGTTTTGGTTGTGTGCCGTGTTTTAGCATTGAAGTTCAGTTGAAGGGTTTGGAACTCTGTTAGGCCTTTGTTAGGGAGTAATGCTTCCATATTACTTTACTAATTCGTTGCGTATAATAGTTACTACAAAATGACAAAAAGGCTATGATGTTAACAAAATATATATCAAAATACTTTTCACCACATTTATTATTCCTACAAATGAAAAAACACGTTAACTCAACATCATAGTTTGTGTGAAAGGAGTTGTGTCCTGCACGAGGTAAGTAAAAATAAATGAGTTTAAAAACTCACTAAAATCTTGCATTCTGTCTTGTACGATCAAGACTTCATTTTCTTTCTATAAGGTGCACGCTGCTGTAAAAGTTGGGGTCACGGAGCACCTCCACTAAGTCCGAATTACTAAATTTTTGTTTAAAACCGGAATCGCCAAATTTGGGGCATGCGGAGAGAGAGAGACGCATTGTCGCATAATTGGTGAAACGATGTATCGTCACGTTTGGAGGCGTGACATACGCTTAAACTTGGCATAAGCGGATGCCCATATATGCGGTCTCTATAGTGCGGCCAACGAATAAAAGTGATCCTGATATGTCGTGTTAGTTCTTATGGCGAAAGGATGTTTTCGGACCTCTTTTTTACTAGATCGAAATTTATATGATATATGAGAATATTAACTTGAGGAACTGACACGACCTGTACACTTAGCACGATCCAATATGGAATTCTTCTTTCTTATCTTTCTTTTTTAATGGCTCAAATGGGATTTACCCGCAATTCCGCCAATTTCACGTCGATAGCTACTCCGATTTCCATACAAAAACTTCTTGACAATTGATACGTATCAAGATCGAATTCAACTATTCGAATTCGATATTGGTTCGTGCTATGGTACTGATGAGGAGCTCGATGGCGCAAGTGATTGGCGCGTTCAGCTGCGATCGTTGAAGTTAAGCAATTTTCGCAGTGGTCGGTCATTAGATGGGTGACAAAAAATTTACTATCTCGAGCTCCTCCGTGCTTCGGAAGGCACGTTAAGCCGTTGGTCCCGGCTGCATCTGCAGTCGTTAGCACCCGCCAATCCGCACTGGGCCCGCGTGGTGGGTCATGGCCCAATTACCCCATTCCATCCATAGGGAAGGCCTGTGCCCCAGCAGTGGGGACATTAATGATGCTGATGATGAATGATACTGTCAGGATCGCATTCTTTAGTTGGCCGCACTTCAGTGGGGGCGTTCTGTGGGGTCACATCGGGGGGATTCTCGTGGTGTGTACTAGAATTTGAGCGAAAAGCCTGGCGCTACGTTCAACGATCTCTGTTGTAGTTGGAATCCGAGCGCCTCGTCCGAATCTGCGCGGGCATATTGAGCGTACGCAGCCCCGCCCGCGGGAGGCCTAGGGCTGTGCGTTGTGCGACGATTGCCTTCCGACTTGGCGGGCCACGTCGGGAACATGGCGGGGTCTATCGCTACCGGATGCTCCTGGCAAAATAATTGTTTTTTATGTAAAGAAAAATCCTCTGCGAACAAAGGATTACATGAATAATATTTCAAACACTCACACCAATTAGCCTAGCCGCAAAGTAAGCACTACAAGGCTTGTGTTATGGGATGCTAGGGTAACGGATAGAATACATATACTGTGTTTTTTTTTATAGAAATACATATTAAACGTCCATGACTGGAGTACAAAATGCTCGTATTCATCACAAAAACATCTGCCCCACCGGGATTTGAAACCGGGACCTCTCGAGTCGGCGTCACCATGAAACCCGGCGTGCAAACCACTCGGCTACGGAGGTCGTCGAATATTAAATCGACATGTTAAATCTAAAGAAAATTAGCGAATCTAGGGAAGGAACCTTCAACAAACAGAATACCATAGTAAAAGAACTATTGTCCATAGTATAATTACCTTTTGGTGGACTTGAAGTCCTACGGTGAGTAAGGTTCCAGGGCTCCTCGAATGATATTTTTTAGCATCGCAAGCGTGTATGGGCTTTGGTGCCGTTTATCATCAGGCGGACCATATGACACCTTTTAAGATAAAACAAACTAACCTTGAAGTAGGTGTGGTCAAGCGCGGCGTCGGCAGTGAGTCGTTTCTCGGGGTTGTACGTGAGGAACCCGTTGAGCAGCGACTGCCCCGCCTCGGAGAGTAGATCGGAACCTATTCGTTGCTTTAGGCCACCAGATGGATGCTCTGCAAAAGTCATCTTCTGCACAGCAGGTAGCTCGCTGTACCCCGGCCAGATTGACTCCGAGGGTGTGCCGAGATCCTAATGCGAACAAAATTAATATTATATAACTCTAAAAGTCGTACTCGGGTGACAGCAATTAATTTTTAAATTTGATTTAAGCTAGTGATGATGATGACACTTTCTTAGCGTAAAAATACAGTAAGACAACATGAGACATTAAATGACTTTAATTTGACTTCTCCGAACTTTTGTGCAAGTAGGGCTAACGGCTGTAAAAAATCTAATCTCTTAAACCCAAATTAAAAATAAAATCATTTTAAACCTCATTGTATCTACATTCATATTTAAATAATTGACCAAGGTGAAGTGGTGTCTTTCTTTCTACCAGTTCCTGTAGCATGAGCTCCACAATTTACATTATATCACGTTTAGTATCGCATCTAACTAACAAATTCCATAGTAATTTGACAGTTGAGAGTAATAAAAACGCGTTACATATCATATTGTGGTACTAATGTTAGGGAGCCAAGTCTGTAAGATCTGTATTAGTTTGGGTGATAAGCCCAAAAAAAAAGCTGCGAGAATACACACAATACAAAAGAAACTAAGGAAATACACAACAAAAAAAACCAACCAACCTTAAATATTCGATTCAATTGATCTACTTCCGACTTTCCGGGGAACAGCGGATTCATGGACACGAACTCTCCAAAGATGCAGCCTACACTCCACATGTCAATAGGTGTGGAATATTCCTTGCTGCAAAGCAACAGCTCTGGAGCGCGGTACCATAGCGTTACCACTACGGGTGTGTACTGACGTAGAGGCGACCCATACTCTCTTGCCAGACCGAAATCACCAACCTGTCAATGAAAAATAAAACATTATATCCTATGCATAAAACTTATTAGTAGGAAGGAGTTTCAATCTTGTCGTGTTGACAAGTTGTTGGCTTCAAGTTCATTGCGGAGTAGTCAAATATGTGGTAGCATCACATTTTAATAGACAATGACAGTCAGTGTAAATATCACCGGCGCATCAGTTGGGTAAGTTGTTGCCCAAAGACAATAGTGTCTCGTTTCAAGCACATCGCCTACAATGTAAAACATTATTAATTTTATTAGTGAAAATACACAAAAGTACGATTTCATATGTAGATGAATCCATGTTAAATTTATAGCCGGAAACTGTTATTATTTAAATAATATACAATAAACTCAAAAGAATCGTTTTACAGAACAAATAGAATGACAGATGTCCGCTTTGCTTACCTTTAAAATACCTTTGTGTGACAACAGTAGATTACTCGTCTTCAAATCTCTGTGTAATATCCAATTGTCATGAAGATGATGTACAGCCTTTAGTAACTGGGTCATCAAGCATTTCACTTCACCTGTACAACAAAAACAAAATTTACTAATTAGTACTATTATACCTAGTATTTGAAGATCAAATAACTCTTAACAACTTATGTTTACTATATGAGATCTCTATTAAACAAGAATGAGACAGAAAATAATCCTACTAATATTATAAATGTGAAAGTTTTTAATTTTGTTACTCAATGCCGCAAAAACTACTGATTCGGATGGAATTCAGTACGCATATAGTTTATGACCCGGATTGAGACATAAGATACTTTTTATACCGGAAAATATTGAGTTCCTGTAGGATTATACAAAAAACTAAAGTTGACGCGGACAAATAGCGGGTGGCCGCTAGTAGTAAAAATAAATCCAAGTAACATATGGGTAATTCATTATTTTATAAAATCCAGTCCTTAATCAAAACAATCTAAACATGGACAGTTTTACTTTCAACTATATATTATTTAAAATTATAGTTAATTAACCTGGAAGGAAAACTTGTTTCTTTCCTCTCATCGTCTCCATAAGGCTCTTGAGGTCGTGCTCAACATAATCCATGACGATAAATATCTTGTCCATGTTGGAGCCCACCACTATCTCTCGCACCGTCACGATGTTCGGATGCTGGCCCTGCAACAACCAAACAGATTGTGCGACTCGTTAGCAAAGACCAAGGCAACTACACTTCAATGATTTATAACAGTCTAAGGCCCTGCGCTGCCTTAAGCGAAAGTACGGAGCAGACATCAGCGTCGCGTGCAGTATCATATCATTTCCCTCACGAAGCGCTGCTCTCTGAAATGACATCAAACATACACACGGAGCTCACTTCCGTTCAGTGCTCCCGCTTACTGCAGCGTAGTCTTGATAAAATACTTTTTTGAACGGGTATAAGCGCGACTTATTAACTCTTCATTATTTTATAGGTTTTGTAACATTAACAGACTCCGTGGTTAAGTCTTGCGCTTGCGATTAAAAAATCGCTATATACCTACATACTGAAAAAAGGATTTTATTGATTGGTGTGACTGAAAACTTAATGAGAAAATAAAGTTATTTAAACCGAAAACTTAAGGACTAGATAGTTTTTCAACATTATAAATATACCGTACAGTTTCTTAGTAATACAAATACCGCTGCATAGTCTGGCAAAGCTAACTTTGCAAAGGAATAAAGTGGCATAATTTAAGTTCTATCTTTATATATATAATTCTTCTGTGAGTGTGTATGTTACTGAACTTCTCTTAAACGACTGGACCGATTTTGATGAAATTTTTTGTGTGTGTTCAAGGGGATCTGAGAATGGTTTAGATTCACAATTTTGTCCGCTGGACAACCCCTATTTTTTTAGGGCGGTACGAAGTTCGCTGGGTCAGCTAGTAATTATATAAATTCTGATTGTTAAATTTAATACAAATCATGAATATATACTTTATTTGTAATTAATGTATACTGTAGAAAGAACCAGAGATATATACATACCCTTTTTTTCAATGTCGAGTTTAGACAAGTTTGTATTTAACATTCGAAGTATTAAAAGCAAGCATAACAATGAAAGTGACAGAAAAGAGTGTTGATACGAGGGGTTGCCACTAAATTCCTTCGCAAAGATAGCTTTGCCCGACTCAACATACTTAAATACAAAATTGTTAAAAATAATTTTAGTAAACATTAAAGGACTAATAATAATTTATATAAACCATTTTATAAAAATATTTTTGACTACCTGTGTTAGAGTAAAACAAAAAGGAAAGATATGGTACGCTCTTACTTATTTAGTCTAATAAAATATGCTCCGACTCAACTACATATTATAATGCAAATCTCACACACATGTGTGCCATCTAAAAATAAACATTCAATCAAGCGAGCGAGACAGAACAACACGCTTCAATCAGCGCGAGTGAGTCGGCGAGGCCGCGTCGCTTGACAACCGATACAGATGCTCTTTCATTTTCTACAAACGGCTAAATCATCTGAGTTGCATTGTAGTATAATTCTAGATAACAAGTATAAGAGAATAATTCCGGCACTTCACTTGGCTATTTGTAAACTGGACAACAGTCTGCAAGCAAATACAAATAGCCAAATGAAGTGCCGGCATAAAATTAATAAAAAAAAACCGCGATTTGTGAGAAACAAAATATTACGAATGAAAACTGATGCCGTTGCATTTTTTTAATTTGTTCTTGAACAATTTGTGCACTTTTTAAAAGCGTCGAAGGGATTGTTTTATCTTTTTAAAATAGAATATCCGCAATGTTGTTTTAAAAGTTTACGTGCGGCGTGTTTGCTTGTCTAATTGTGAGCAAACCTAATTAAGGCGGTACACTTGTGCGTGTGAGAAACGCGATGCCCTATATTCCTTTTCTGATTTAATCTAAGCTATCAGATAATAAAATATTTAGAATAGTACCTAGTTAATTAATAAATAATATATAGACCGCCCAGCCTTGCGTTTGAAATTAGTTAAGATATAAATAAATCTGATTAACGAATAACAACACTTTTTAACATTTTCTAACTTGAAGAACTTACCGACATATTAGGAAAAAAATACTAGAAAAGGTTGAAAAGTCTGACCTGAGGTGCGATTCTATCAAATAAATTCTCACTTCCAAATAATATATTAGTTTGATATGCATTACACCATTACACGACGAAATGTCGCAATGACTGTTGAAGCAGCCAGTAATAGATATTTGACAACCATCAAAATGCCGAATAAATAATTATCAGTGAGATTGCATCCTATATTATTATTATTGATTTAAATTGATCAACTTATATCTTTCCATTGCTTTTCTTCAATTCGATTGCTACAATTTGATTGAAAGTCTGTTCAGAATGATCAAATCGCATGCGGTCTAGCAGTTGAATCAACTAAAATCGCCTCATGTGAACCTGGTATTACAGAATCGACATGCTACTTATATATTCTGTAAGAAGTAACGTCACTTTCGATTGAAATTCGAAAGCGAGTTTTTATTTTACAGATTAGGCCTGCAGGAATCGGGCTGGATTCGAATCAGATACATCTTTGCTATCAAGTCAAGAGCACTGACCACTTTGCTACAGAGACCATAATGGACGTGTTGAAATGCTTCTTGCATATCTCATGCTGCAATGCAGCGCCGCTTCTCCAAATCTCATGCAACTACATTGTCAAATGAGATAAGTTAGTAGCTTGATGCCGGCACTACAAAAAGATCAACTTGACATGTTTACAAATAGCAAACACAAAGTGAAGTGCCGGCATGATAGTAAGTTACCTGGGTCGAGTTGAATTTTATCTAGTAAAATTTTATTAAAATGTAAAAAACCCAGTTTCGTGATTAACATTAAAATATTTTAAAATAAGGTAATTATAGTTTCAACATATCCTCTGAACAACAAGCAAGCAAACCAACACCTCGTCCACCTGTCGATCACCAGTTCCATAGCTTAATTGAATGTAAGGGTAACGAATACATAATAATATCATGTTTCAATTTCTTGTTCTCTCATTTATTGAAATTGCTAATGATTTAAAGCAATTTACATTACACCTAACGTGAAAGACAGTAGTAATACCAATTCCAGTAAATACTATTAGTAGGAGGACAAATATTACTTCCTGTGTTGTATCCATTTCTATTACTAACTAGCGGCCCGCCCTCGCTTCGCTTCGGTGTAGAGCTGAAGTGTAGACTACAGTTTTTGTTCTCAGGCTTGTATTATACACAATGACATTCATCTATGATTCTTCTTATACCTGCATGCAAAGTCTCAGCCCGATCGGTTTAAAATTGATAAAGTTTCATACAAACTTTCATTCCTTATTCTATCCCCTTGGGATTTTCTTTATATTTTTTTCCGTAAGAACCTTGTACAGAGTATTAGAAAACTACAAAAAAAAAACCAGCCAAATCGGTCAAGCCGTTTTCATGTTATGTCGTGACAACGGAAAACGGGTTTCATTTTTATATATATAGATTTAAAAAAAAATAGATTTTTGACGCAGCGCTGTACGTCTGACGCGCATCTATGCTAGCGGTGTCACACTATATAGTATCAAATTGTATAACGTCATCAAAGCCAGGGCTTGGAACCGGTACTTTAAATACCGGTATTATAACGGTAATATCGGTACCCCAAAAAAATCTGTATAATACCTGTAAGAATACCGATATTTATATGCGAATCGCAAGGTTACCGATCCGACGCAATACATGGATGCGGCCGAACGAAATTCAACGTCATCACTTCGTTAACATTCAAAAGCACTTAGCGGCGCTCGCCGGTCCTTATTCCTTGGTCTAATATCGGTATTATACCTTTATTATATTCGTAAAATACCATATTTAACGTTTAAAATACCAGTATACTCCAATAATACCGGTATTATTTCTACGTGTAAAAAATATTACCGGTATGCTGCCAAGGCCTAAGATACCGGTTTCGGAAAATACCTCTAATCCATCCAAGCCCTGATCACAGCACAGCACGAGCTACGTTGCCAGCCCGCATGTCGTTGCGCACCGCGTCCGCTCTCTCTGTTTGTTACTGCCTGGCTTGCTGTCCAGCTCTGCACATAGCCGCATCAGTTGAGCATACAGTGACACACACCTTAGCATTTCATAATATATTACAACGTCGTTTGCTGCTACGCGCTGTGCTGCATTTGGTTTAACCCAGGCTTAATAGTAAACTCAAATCCACAATTTTACACTATATCTAGGGTACCCGACTTTTTTCTATCTTATATAGCTTTAACTTGCAAAAGTCTGCTTTAAGCAAAATAAAGTAGTTTCGCCTACTATATATTGTTTTTAGAAACATAGTATTTGGTCCCCTAATATAGTAGAATACTATATTATATAATAGGGTTGGCAACCTAACTTATATCATCATCGAAGTTGCGAATGCGTTGTATTATGTCGACATCAAGGGACTTCAACGCCTTTCGCAAAGTTTTATGAACTCGACCTTTTTTCAATTCATAATCAACACACACTAGCTTTCATTCTTTATCCCATGTAACTTCAGTTCTATCCACTCTCAAAGATAGCGCACGAACTCTCACTTCCTAATTTTAATGTTCTCTATTCTCTCTATTAACACCAATAAAATACAAGCCATTAATCACGGACAGTCCAGTGCATGTCCAGGTGTGATTTTACCAATTTCCTCGAATAATGGCACTACTGTTATGATGCACATAAACAAAACTTTCGAAATGACTTCGGTACTTCTGTGTCATTGGCTCTTCTCACTATGCGTCCCGCTCATTGCCACTTCAGCAAAGCAACTCCTCGAGAGATATCGGTTTCTTTACTTCTCCTACGGATTACCTCATTTTTGATTCTATTGCAGAGGAAAGTACCGAGCAATTGCTGTCTCCATTACTCGTTGTGTGACCTAGAGACTTGTTATGAGACCTGTAGTAAACGACCACGTTTCGCTTCCATAAGTCAACACCGGCAACACACACTGGTCTACTTGATGGTCAAGACTTTTGTGTTAATTTTCCGTAGCTTCCCAAAGTCTGCCCATCTGAGCTGAATACGACGAGATATCTTCTTTTCAAAATTGGACTTACCGATCTGGACACTATTATTCCATCATTATAATCTATCTTATTTCCAAGC